TACAATACGCGTATAATTTAGGGTCGAAAGCAACAGACGACCCTGCAGGTATATTATTGACAAGCCATTCAGAAGGAGTCAAAGCATTAGGGACACTTTCTTTCATCAGTTTCCATCCGGATTCCAACTCTTTATTTGCCTGTATAAATTTCTCAATCCTACTAACGCTCTATTACACCCGTTTGAAAAAAAGAAGGCAGAGTAAAAAAACTAAAAAGACTTACTTGAATAAAATACCGACCATCAGTCCACAGCAACGCTTCGTTTCGACTAATAATTACAAATGCATTAGTACCAGAGAATCCAGAAATAAAACGAATTCGTAAATCACGATCTGCTAGATATTCGCTCTAAAACAAAGGTGAGATATCTAGACCGTTGCTGTTCTACGGCCTCTAGAAGAATGAGGAAGTAGCGTGGCAGGAAAAAAAAAAACAATTGTGACACATTTACGAAGATATAGATTATGGCATTTTTAACATAGAATTTCAAACAGTGACTGCTAAAAAGTGAGAACAGGTAAATCAAGCTAACCTGATGGGCATCGGTACGTGGTAATAAATAAGCACTGATTGTACTTTCAGAAGATGCTCGAATCTTTGGTTCGTCAAAGAGCTTCCTGATCTTGACAAGTTTTTCGTTTACAGGCTCAACGTCAGGCATCGTATCGTTGTTGAACCTTCTGTTGATTATTCGAATGTTCAGAGATTTCTTTAATGTAGACAATGAATTGGTAGCTATTTTTCGTCTACCAATCAGTTCCAAAGTGAACGGCAGTAAACGTTCTAAAATGATAAGTATGCATAAATACGGGTGACTGTAAAACTTATGCTTCAAAAGTTATATGCACAGATTCAGAATTTAATTCAACTTATATTTTCAATAAAGCAATAAAAACACTGAACTACAACGAAGACCGAGTAGCGGTAATATAAATGCCATTTAAGAATCCTTGACACAACAGCAACAGCGATGGGTAATTTATATTCAGAAGAGGGCGTTCATTTACAAACACGTAAACAAGATGAGAGGTGGGAGTTAAGGAGAAAAATTTGGCATTTTTACTAGGCGAATTTGGATGGTCGCCGGTTACGTCCTGCTTTAACCGATATGAAAGAAAGCAGATAGCGGTACTTTTAACCAAAATCTTTTTGAAATTCGAAGTTTTCAGTAACATTAGTTGCTGTTCCATTGCAGCATATCTGTTAAAGTACGTAATTTTTTTTGGTCGGCCCTTTTTATTTTTTTTTTGTACACAAGAATCCTTGAAAGTTTTGTACTTATCATTGTGCGTACTAAAGGGGTTTACAAGTTTCTGCTCTAGTTTTCAATGAAACTTCAATAGTCACTCATGCTTACTAAAGTTCAGATGTACGCCAACCGACAGTGCGACATTCACCTTGCTCGTCATAATTTTTACGGTTCACAACGGTAAAACGCTCAAATAAATTTATTTTGTTCTATGCAACTTATAGCCTTTTCATTACCTTAAAACTATTGATCGTTCTTAAACGTCCGTTTGACGATGATGTCCGCATAGTTAAGTGATTTAACTGACTAGTCCTTCGAAACTGTGACACAGCGGTAGCGCAGAACTGGCGGCAGTGCTTCCACATTTCTGAATGTCATTTCCAATGCCTTAAACTGCGGTAAAAGCAATTCATACACCTCGGCAACAGGATGGACGTGTTAGACGTGTTAGAATGTTACTTTCCGACAACGTTTCTCCACGTTACTGCCTGTCATCGTCAGTTAGTAATTTACTGTGGACTGCAGTGGCATTTTTTCCTATGAGTTTTCCGACTATCCACTATTTATCCGTATTGGGCAACAGCTTGTCTGTCTGCTCGTAAACACCAGTTTTCAGCTGTGGCTCAACACTGGGGACTGTGGCTGAGATTGTATGGTTCTTTGCGGTTGTACTTTAATTTAAGCTGGTATTACTCTGAAAAAGGTGCAGTGGAAAGAGGTTTGTATTAGGAATTCAGAATTTGCTAGTTTGCACTTGTACTGGACTTTTACGATTAAGTCAATAATTATTATAGTCATGCAGTTGGGGGTAGGGGAACAAAGCGATCTTGTTAGAATGAATCAGAAAACTGTCCTCTCCATCAGTCTATAAAACTGCTTGTCGTTTTGTGAAACACGACTGATATCGATAAAAGAATGCAAACGGGTGGGAATTTGAGCATATAATTGCCCAACTTAAAATAGTGCTTTCTTCTAGTATTCTTTGGGTCACTTAATGCAATTGACGAACGGTTTCTTTTTGCAAGCAACTGACTCCGGTACTTCTGAGCGGTTATAGGCAGTTAAGAAGTAGTCAGTTCAGGAATCGCAAGATTCAAGCTTCGTGTTATTTAATGTACAGCTGTTGGATCTCATAATACCCACTCTACTGTTCCGTTGTCTAGATCCTTTGGGCAAGTTACGTATAAAGCATTGGGGTCAGATAATTCAAGGTTAGACTCTTGAAAAAAAAA